CAGAAAACATTCAAAAGCTTGACTTCTGAAATTTTTCAACGCCTGCTCCGGTCTTCACTCTCAAGAAGCTTATAATTTAAGATGAAAAATATAATTATAATTGTATATCATATATAAATAATAATAGAAATAATAGCATCTCTGCTTCTGCTGTTTATTGGTCCTGATGATGTTCTGGGCATGGTGCTAAGCGCTTTATGTGTGTGATCTCATTAAATTCTTATAACAAGCCTCTAAGGTAGAGGATGGAAGCTATAGAGATGTCAAACCTGAATCTTAATGATTGCAAGTGACTCCCCACGGGACACAGATGTGAACCAGCATCCGCCTGGTTCCATGCACTATTTGATTGAGCACTAAGCTTTTCTGTTCAAGTGAAGAGTGTGCTTTGAGAGGAAATGGAATATACAGCGGGAATGTTTGGAAACTTGGGAGCAGAACCTGAAGACCAGTTTAAAGAGTTTGGTTTTTTGCATGTGTCTTTGTTTGTCTTCTGGCCTTTTTCCTATAGAAATGGGGACTTTCTGGGAGTTTTCAGTAGGAAAGGCTTATGACATAAATATTACCTGGAGGTCACTGTGCAATAGGTTGGGCTGGCTGAAGGCAGAAGCCCGATTAAGAGAGCAATGAAAACAGACAGGAAAAAAAAAAGATGGGAAGATAAAAAACAAGAAAATGGACTAGGATGCTTTGTATCTAAGACTCTCCTTAATTCTGAACTCACTTCTGTTTTGGAAAACTTTCAGAAATCAAAGATGCAAAGATTTTTAAAATTCTAAGCTTAGAAACCTATAGTTGGAAAGTATACATCTATTTTAATGAAGTAAGTAAAAATAGACAGAGGATTAATGTAATCCATGGTGCAGTAAAGAAATTGTTTACAGGAGCGAAGTGTAGATGAAAAGTAGAGAAGAGTTAGAGAGAAGCACTTCAGACACGGAGGTGGCGCATCTCAGGAATTCCATCTGAAAACCGGGCAGCGCAGCACAGAAGCATCCCCAATCAGTAGAGAGTGAGTCCTACTGAGGAAAGGGAGAAACAGGACCACAGCCAACCAGGCAGGCAAGTGGCAGGCCTCCTCCCAAGGACAGCACTGAAGTACAGTGAGGAAGCAGCTTCCACAATTGCTCAAGAAGCAGCCAAGACAATTTCTAACCCCTGCTTTGCAGAACCTTGATGAGCATGTGCCGCTAGCCGTTCCAAGATTGGAGCCAGGCAATTTGCCCAGGGCTGGAGAGATTCGGCATTTCCTGGAAGAGGCCAGGAAAGAGCAGACAGAACCTGTCTGGATTACATCCTTGTTGTCCCTAAGCTTGAATAGCATCAACGAATTAGACCCAAATTTTATAATGATCTTGCTTTGATCTTTAAAGCTGTTCCTACAGTGCTAGACGTGAGTCTAAACTTAAAGGAAATCTTGGCTCCCTCAATTCTTATAAGTTCCTACTTGGTGAGTCCGGAGTTTTAGTTGGTTTGTGATGTATTTCTATAAAATGGGGCACTGGTGGTTTGTTTATGTTTTATTAAGGAGATACATAAATTAAAATTAGTCGACTGCATTCCTGGGATGAGAAGTGGCTCCATTTACTAAGAGATATATTCCATTAGTTTCCAGCCACAGTCCCATTTCCCCTGCACTGAAATCTAATGTTATACAATAAAATGTTTTCCATTAAATTTGATAGGTTTAAGTAAAACTACATGACATGCTTCCATCAAAGGGAATGAAAATCATTCTTCAAAGCAGAATCAATTTGCAATTGTGACAGATGACAATTTTTCAAATTTAGCTGCAATTTAACAATGCCGCTTAGATGTCTTTGAAATAATTGACATAAGGAGCAATTCTCTATTTTAAACTGTGTTCTTCTTTCAGTTTGGTTCTTCATAATAGGAACACTCCACAGGGTCCCTGATTCTTGCAGTTTTTATTTTGCAAACTACTTTGCATCGTAAATAAAAATCTGCCTTTCATAAAAATTTCTGATTGCATAAGGAAAATGATTCCTCATTTTTATATTGGAAAAAAATCTGTTCTTCCTTTGAGCAATTAATGTACATTGATGCATAATTTAGCGTATGTATTTTTTTTTTTTTTTGCTAAGGAAGATTCGCCATGAGCTAACATTCATTGCTAATCCTCCTCTTTTTTTGCTTGAGGAGAATTAACCCTGAGCTAACATCTGTGCCAATCTTCCTCTATTTTTTTGTATGTTGGACGCCTCCACAACTTGGCTGGTGAGTGGAGTAGGTCCAAGCCTGGGATCCGAACCCACAAACCCAGGCCACCGAAGCAGAGCACATAGGACTTTAACCACTTGGCCACTGGCCTGGGCCCTGTATCATATATTTTAGTTGACAAATAGCTCTATTTCAAACAAACATAGATTGCATTTAGTTTTTATTACTTATAAAAAATTTCCTGAAGACTCAAGAATCAAACTAAATTCTTAATTTCTTCAGAAATTTCTGGGGAATATACAAGCTGAAATCATTATAAACTTGAAAGGAAAAGTGACAGAGAAGAGTAAAATGCTGAAATTGCGATGTATGCCCCAGATCCTGAAGCGCAGCTCTCTACTGAGGAGTGGAGACCCCAAATCTCACCTAGTGAAAACTCCTGGGCAGGTGTTGCTGTTCTATAGTTTTAAAATCTTTGATCTGATTATTGTGGGTTCATAGCAAAGTATTCAATGGCTCTCAGAAAACTGAGAAAATAAGAACAGGGTAGTGAGTTTTTAATAAATATAAACATATTTCATTTCAAGGATTGTCCTTTAAATAGGAGATTTTCCTTTTCTTAAGCCCCTTTCTTTATAAAATACATATTATAGTTGGTAATAGGATGGTTGCTGTGTTGTTGTTATTATTAACATCCTTACTTGGCAAAATGGAAAGTTGTCCGTCTTATATTAGTCCCCATTCTTTTTTCTTTGAAACCATACTAAGCACTGAAACCCTGGACTGGGAACCACTACTGTTAGAAAATATCTGTGGGAACTTCAGTGAATTTCCTTTCCTCCAGCCCCAGGGCTTAGAGAGAGGCAAGCACAACTCACTCCCTCATTCCAAAACAAAGAGCAGAGGAAGTAGGAAGAGTTCAGTAAGTTGGAGAGAGTTCTTTCACATCTAATGCATTTCTTTAGAGGATAAATGTATTCTGTGCTTTAAATCATCAAGGAACTGGATTAAAAATATCATTGACTGCTGAAATAGATATTACAACATAGTCCTCAAAGTCGTATTAACATACCTGTCATGATTTAATCATTCCTTAATCCAAATCCATTTTACACTGTGGATTTACTCTATTATTTGCCAGAAGTAAATTTAGCATCATTTAGTTGTTTTATAAAATATTTCTAGAATCCTCTATCCCTTGGCATAACCTTCAGTGAAAAGATTTAGCATTGAATGCTCACGTCACTGAGACTCACTGTTTGTAGTTGTCAAAGTCATCCAGTACTCCAGGGTCACTGGAAGTAATGAGAAACTGACAAGATTGAAAAGGATCCTGTGTGCCTTGACACAGTCTTGAGAACACATGGGTGTCTGTGAGTTGGGTTCTGAGTGAGTCATGGTGCATTTGACGTTCTGTTGCTTTCTTTCCCTTTTCCCCTTTCTAGTGAAATCAGATGAGTTACAGACAATCAAGAAAGAATTAACCCAGATCAAAACTAAAATAGACTCCTTGCTAGGGCGCCTGGAGAAGATTGAGAAGCAGCAGAAGGC